AAGGAAGGGTTGGGGGCACCCTTCTGATTGTACATGGTTGCAGCCCCCACCCCCATTCCATCTCCAGGACACACTGTCACACTCAGGGGGCAGGAAATGGAGACATGGACATGGCTGCAGATGTAGACGGCACTGGATCCACAAGGGGTGGGAGCCTGGCACACAGAGGAGGCCCCAGGTGCACTGTGGGTGGCACTGCATGTGTGTTGCACTCATGGTCTCACTGTCGCCACAGGGCCGGAAGAGACCAGTTCCGATGCTGGGCCAGTGGGCAGGGCATGTGGTTCAATCACACTCAGGTTACAGACCCCCATGGTGCAGGTGGGGGTGGTTTGAACAGGTGGGCCAGCAGGGGCTTGACTTTCTCCAACACCCAGGTGGGTCTACTCCAGGGCTCAGCACATTCTCACGACACCTGGGCCCGAAAGCCAAGCTGTGTGCAAGGCCAGACTCTCCAGCCTGTGGACAAAATGAACCGGGTCTTCTCTCGTTTTCTTTGTATTCCTTTCAGTAGCAGCTGCCCCGGGAACTTTTCTGACTACTCTATACAATGAAAATTCAAACTAGAGTAGGGGGGGCAGGACGACGACACACACATTAAATCATACACATGACAAATCTGTTCCAAAATATACTTACATTAAATAAAAAACAAACCAATGCATCTCAGGAAGGTAGACAATAAATGACTCTGCATTTCTGGGGAGCCTGGCAACACTGGGCAGGGTCCCAGCACACGAGGGGGAGGGGCTAGGAGGCTTTGCATCCAAGCAGATCTGGGCAGCAGGTTCCTGCTGACTCTCTGCGGGTCACAAGGTACACATCATTCGCATCACTGGAGCAGGCGGTTTGTGGGAGGGTCAGCAAGCTCTAGACTGTGAGTTCATTGAAACTTGGCAGGAATCCCACCAGCAGCCTGTGCGGTGCAGGTTCAAACCAGACCCACGCTAAGAAGGAAAGCAGACAGTTCTCTAGCGCCCAAGACACATTCCTTGCTGACTTTACATGGCGTTCTCCAGCGAACTCGGCAGGTGGAAGCTGTTCTTCAGACCAGAGTGTCAGGGGCTGGTCCATCCCGGTGGGAGAGAGGGACTGTGATGGGGACGGAGGGCAGTGCACAATCCCGGCCCTGCAGGCCTCCTGTATCACCTGGCGTACCGCTTCATGTAGTCTTCCACTTTATTCCGGAAGTCCTCCTTCAGGGGGAAAAGAGGAGGGGCAGCAGTGAGGAGAAAGGTAGTGGGCAGCAGCGACACTGCAGGAGCCAGGTAAAGCCCTGTGGTGGGGTGTGCTAGGTGGGGTCAGATGGGGAGTGGGGTCACGGTCTCTACAAACGCACATGGGCCGCTTGTCTCTGGACCTGCTGTCTCTCAGCTATGCCTACACTTCACAGCCCAAGGCATACCCTTACCAGACCACATAGCAAGGGCACCATGGCCCTGCCAGAGGACTAGGGGCAGAGCCCGTCTCAGAATTCAGGGGGAGCTGAGTCTAACTGGGGCTTTGCAGCCCTGTGCCTGGGGTTGTCCAGATATCACAAACTGCTCCTTTGTTGCATGCAAAGGGCAGAGAGCAACCTTCAAAAAAAGATGAACGACAGGTTAAAAATCTGTCTTGTGCCCCTTGCTCTCTGACACACGTCACATACCCCAGGCTTCGTGCATACGGCTGCCCGACGTGCATTGCTATGTAGAAAGACGCCATCAGAGGCCACAGCGGTCAGAGCAGCAAAGGGCCTCTCTGAAGAGGCCCGGGCTGGAGGCCGGGCACAGATGCCCATGGTCTTGCAGAGGTCAAGGGACCATAGGGGCAGGAGCAGGGGCAGGCAGACAGGCCGAGGCTGCCTCTTCACGCTCCCTCATGTACTCTGGCTTCTCCATTCTCCCCGACACGTGGCTATTCCTCACACACGTGCAGTTTTCTCTCTCGCCATCTCTACAGATGTGCTTGTCTATGCTACTAATGAGGCGGACTGTTTCAAATGACTTATGCTGAATTAGACTAGAAAACCACATCTGACCATGGATGCTGCTTTCCGACCACTTTTCTCTGAGACTTCGTGACCTTCTGTGTAACAATGCAATGTTGCCTGTGCTGCCAGTTGTCACAATCACTGCTCTGTTGCAGGCCCAGTATTCACCTATTGATATGTTTCAGATCTGGATCCTACTATTCCCCATTTCCTTATTTATGTTAAAACTTCTCCATTTCTTATGGCTTAACCAAGAGCAAGTGATAATCTTTGTACTCAATTCACCACCCAAAACGAACCAGTTACAAGCTCACCTTGTCCCGCAAATGATGTTCTGCAGCTTCAATATTCAGTGGATCATCAAAATTCAAAAGATCCTTAAAAAAGAGAGAAATTCAAAGTCACCATTGGGGGTGGGGGCGGTGCTATTACAAGCTTCAGTTTACTAATCAGGCAACAGAAATCTAATTGACACAGGTCAAATGACCTGGAAATTCCACAAAGAACCAAAGTGATTTGGAGCTATGAGTCTCTCCCACCATCATCAGAGGGAGCTGAGTCCCGGGGAGCGTACAGGACGTAGTTCTGCTGCACTGGTTCTG